AGCAAGCTCTTTGGCTGAAAAACCTGATTGATATCCCAGGGTGGGTTGCAGCCATCCCTTAATGCAGCTGACAGGATTTGAAATGTCTGTATTTTAGCAGTTTTCTACCTACAAGGCTGTCAAGGCAGTTCATTGGCCTGGCGAAAGCAGCACGCTGCAGTTGCTCCAATGGGTTCTTATTTCCAAAGAAAACCTCTTTTTAACTCTGATGTTGCAGGCTTCCTGACCGTGGATCAGCAGCCCAGCGAGGTTTGTTTTCTGCTTCGGTTCCCTGGAAGGGAATTCATGTGTTCAGGCATCTGGGGCTTCCAGTGGGTACCTCAGCCAGATGGGGGCTGTTAGGACTGCAGAACTGGTAACTCACTGGCTATTCTGGGGAGACGAGCACAGGATTTAGAGATTCGCTCAATCTGGCCACGGACTCCTGTCAACACACCCACACTTGCTATCTCTACCCCAACAAACCCGAGAGTGGTGCATGAATCACGGTGCAGTTGACATCCGGTTTGATCGTCCTTGTTTTCTGCCAGCATTAGAGGGCATTCCCACACTGACGGAAGAAAACAAGCAAACTGTTTGTAGAAACGGTTCTTACAGCCTTGGCACAGACCGCACAACGAAACAGCTGGTCGCTCTTAGCGGGTGCCCAACCAACCACTTTGCCAGGTTGTGAATATGCAGACCTTTTTTTTTTTATGATTCTCCCAACTACTGTTATTTTTTGCCTGTTGCCAGAGAAGCTGGGAGGGTCCCAGTTTGGCCTTCATCCCTCTGGGGAAGCTTTCCTAGCACTTGATTCCCCCCACATTTTCTTCTAAGGGGACATATTTGTGTGCACAAAGTTCACTAGTTCTGGAGTAGTCAGTGGGAGGAGATGACTTTGCAGAAACGTGGCTCTTCTAAGTTTTTCAGCTGGATTCCTGCCACCAAGTCACAGTCTACGAATCAGCTATGCCTTGATCCTTTGTATTTAATATTTTAACTTTCTGGTTGGCATTTTTTGGAACAAAAGACTAAAAATATACTGTATACAGTACCTTGTAATAAAATTAAAAGCCTGTTTCTTTGAATGTGGTTTCCTGTAAAGTTTCTCTACGTTGCAAAAAGCGTTAGCGCTCTGAAAGTCGCACCAGGGCATCTGTTAAGGCCCCTGGCATAAACAGTTTCCTTTTTCCAGCAGGCAGTATTGCCAGAGGGGAAAGCTCCAGCAGCGATCCCAGGCAGCCAAATTGCGTCTGTTGGAGAAATGGTGGACAGCACGGTGCGCGAGAGAAAAGGCTACAGAGAGATCTGCAACAGATAGTCAACTCTCAGCTTTTTGTGACTGCTCTCACAAAACCTAAGCAAGGTCAGACCTTGTTAGAGCTTGGATGGGAGACTGGGAAATCTAAGTTACTGAAAATTATTTCGCCAAGCTCAGTTATGTTTCTTTAAAAAAAATCTGTACTGGAAATTCAAAATGACAGTCTCCGCTCACAATTTAAAACTCAACAGATTTATTTATAAAAAGAAGGGGAGGTCAAATAACCGAGACCTGCAAATGCATTGGTTTAACCCAAAATTTCACCTGAAACACAAAATGCTTCTTCCCAGCAAGCCTGAATCCTCACCCAAGGAGGCAGCTGTTTTGCAGGGGGGGCACAGTATCAGAACAGCAAAGCTCCCCTGGTTGATGAGTTACACAAGATCCAGAGCAGAATCGATTAGCTGGGAGGGAAATGAGATCCTGGTTTAATGGTGATCGGACCGTAAGCCTCCATTTGCTCCAGGTGCAGGATCTGAGCTGCAGCAAGAACTAGGGAGAGGAAAGACACTGTATGGAGAATAAAATATTTTCATACATTGATGTCAAAGAAAAAGGTTTGAACAGTTCTTGCAGGAGGGCAATAGGAAAAGAAGTCTGATAACACTTTCTCATTTCCCAACCCGTGTGCTGCAAGGCACAGATAACTAGTGGACTAGAAGTTTGTTTTTCTTGCAACTCGCAAGATTGGGCCCAGCTTGGTATAGGAAAATCATCTGTAGCTGAATAAGGAAGCAGCATAAGTCTATCAAATAATTAAAAAATATATCTGCAGATCCTTAAGGCAGCCAGACAACTTCCAAGTGGACTGTAATGGCTTTTCATCCTGCAGTGAAAAAACCTGGACATTCAGAAGATGCTTTAAGGGGACAAGAGCAAAGAAGCTTTGGATTCCTCACTCCCACCCCTTAATCTGTCCCTCTAATGTGCTGGGCCTGCAACTCCCCAGCAGTCTATTATGTAGGAAACACAAGAGGATTTGAATACAGGTAGTCCTTGTTTAGCAACTGCCCCTTTAGCGACCATTTGCAGTTATGACTGATGGAAAAGTAACTGCAACCAATCCTCATTTATGACCTTCGCGGGTCTGTACAGCAAAGGAAAGCTGAAGGAAGATCATAAGCACATTCGCAGTTTCACTTTGCGACCGCTTTGCTTAACAACCAAGTTGCCGGGCCCAGTTGTAGTCACTGTACTGTTTCTCTAGAATAATCTTATTCTTGAAACAAAGCAGTTGCCGGGAGTCGCTGGGAGTCGGGTGGCATACGCTGTTGTTATTATGACTTGCTAACTCTCTTCAGTAAAAAATACTCATCAGAAGTTCTCAGAGCTTTTCTAAGGGGGTTCCACCCCTGCTTTTGGGGTGAAGCCTGACAACACGGAGGAAGCTTCTGCTCCAAAGTACAGCTTTCTCCCAGTTCAGGACTAACACCAAAACCCAAGCCTGCTTGTGATGCAGGCCAGGAGCAGCACACGATACAAAGGGGCGGAACGCTGGTCATGCAGATGTGGCAGCCATCTTGCTCATTTGACCCCTCACCCCACCGGTGCCCCTAATGCAGACTTCCCTATTTCATCAGGTCTTTTGTATTTGTCCTGTCTCACAGGAAAAACGAAAGAAAAACAACCCTCAGTATGTTTTTCATAAACCATACGCACCCAAACAGATGTAGAAAAACCGGCTGGCAACAGCCCGAGAAGCCGTCAAGGGCACCAACTGATCAAAATCGATCTCTCCAACCTGTTCCAGTCTGGCTGCAACCAACCTGCCAGGAAATCAGAGGAGAAGTTTGCCCTAATGCCAAAGAGGGTTTGGGTGTGGACAGCAAGATGAGGTGCCAAAGAAAAGAGATTCCCCCATCTCCTCCTCTCTCCCGCCACTTCCTAGGCTCCCTTAGCAGCTTCCTCTCGAGAAAGGACAGAAAGCTCTTCATTTTATTTTTAGAAGGAACAGTGTTTTTGAAACATTTGAAAGAAGGAAACCCGAATTTCCTGGGAAGTGGTGGAATTCTGCCTCTAGAAGCAGGGGAGCGGCAAGAGCCAGGGAGGGCTCACCTTACCTGCGGACATAGTCCAAGGTGATCACGTCCTTCTCCAGGGGCAGCTCAAAACTTATTTCAGGGAGTTCGGGCACAACGGGCAAGATCCCTTCTTCTGGTTCTAGCAGAATCCTGTTGGGGAGAGAAGGAAGAATCAGATGCCAAGAAGGCTTGTTTCCCCAGCCCCAAGAGGCAACATTTCTTGGGGGCAGGCAGGCAGGCAGGCACGTAGCTGAGATTTACCTCTCTTCGGTTATCACCAAGCTTGGACGAGGTTCTTCCTCAGTTGTCTCAAGGGATATTTCTGCGAGGAAGACCAAAATTCCATCAAGAAGGGACCACTTTTCATCTTTTGGAGCACAAGAAGGAGAAGGAATTAGCTCAGTATCCTGTGATCTCCAGAGGTCAATCCAAGAACTCACCTGAGGAGCCCACAGGAGGCCCACTTGGTTCTTCAGCTGCTCGCAACTCCTGCAGGAGGAAAGAGAGAACACCAAGCCTCATGGACAAGGAACAGTGAGCCAAAGGCAAAAATGGTCCAAGAGGTTAAATAAATTGCTACCAGAAGCAAGCACCAACCTCCTAGCTTCGATTGGCTGACTTGCTGTGATGTCACAGATGTTCATGGACGTTCTATTGACTTAGTTGTCATGCGATGGATCCTTTAAGGGGGGAGTGAGCATTTGAAGGAAGGAATAGGTGGGAAGCAGGCAAAACAGGGGAGCTTTGAAGACTGGAAGACTGAGTTTAGGGAATGCTCCCTATTGTTCAATTTAGGATTCCTGGTTTATAGATGCAAACCTTGACCTGGAGACCAGCATTTTGCTCAGATCACTGGGAGACCAGGATTTCCACCCAAACAAGACTGATGGACCTTGTATTTCAATATCCTGTTTCTTCCAATAGAGACAAATCAGCTGTTTCCAGGAAGCTTCTGATCTGACAGGCAGCCTTTTCCTGTTGTTACAGCATCTTCTATACCAGTGTTTTTCAAACTTGGCAGCATGCTGGCTGGGAAATTCTGGGAGTTGAAGTCCACACATCTTAAATTTGCCAAGTTTGAAAAACACAGAGATAAACTACTCTGAATATGAAGCTTAAGTGCATCAATGGCTATTGATCAACCTCCATTGAGACTGTCTCTGAAACTGGAAGCAGCCATCACTGAATTATTATTAATAATACTATTATTATTCCTGAGATAGATAGATAGATAGATAGATAGATAGATAGATAGATAGATAGATAGATAGATAATAGGTCAACTCAAGGCAGCCAACATACCAAATACTCCTGCCTATTTTCCCTACAACAACAACCCTGTGAGGTAGGTTGGGCTGAGAGAGAGTCACCCAGCCGACTTTCATGGCTAAAGGAGGCCTAGAACTCAGTCTCCTGGTTTCTAGGCCAGCCCTTTCACCACTACACCAACTGCTGCTCTCTGTATTTTGTAAACTCAGTGATTTGCTTCTGTGTTAACACACAATATTTTTATGAAAGAAAAAACAAGTGGCTATTTGGGCTAGGTTTCCTGATAAGAACATCTTTCTCTGCTCTCCCATTGCTGAATAAAAGTGTGAGGAAAATAAGTTTCCAGATGGGGACGCATAAATTCAGTTGCAGCATAAGGAATTTGAAATAGCCTTGGAGCTGGCTTACACCAATTTTATCAGAGCATTCCCATGCCAATTCATGAATCTGTCCTAGCATTTTGGCACTCTAAACCGCCACTCCCTCTGATCTGTTTCTTTTCTTTTAGAACAATAGTTCTCTTTGAAATTGATAGCAGAGGGCAGGAAATAACTCCAGACCTATTACTTACGTATGCCTGCACCATCATATGAATATGTATGTATGCATGGTTTTTCCCTCCCCCTTTTCTGAAATGTATAAATATCAGCGCATCTCTTTTGTCTGCAAGGGGTGTCTCTCACTATCCCTTGGTGGGGTCCCCTCCAGTACATACTGTTTAATAAACACCGCAGCGAAGCCTTGATCATTTGCTTTTGGGTCCTGAGTTTTGATTCCACAGAAGGAAAATAAACGTCACCCTCAAGCCACCGGAACCCCAGGTGGCAGAATCACCACCCCACCCCACCCTCTGCAAATGCATTGGCGCAGAGGTCAGAAGCTACAGTTTCATCTGTCGGGAGATCACATCCCAAAAAGACGATTCATCGGCCGATCTGCTCTTGCATCAGGCCATCTTCCATGCAAGGTTTCCAGGAAAAAGGCAGCTGGAAGCAGGCCTATCCTTGTGCCTTACTCATAATTCCAGCTGGTTACACCCGATTAATAGGCAATGCCCTAACTTAGGCACAGAACTCAGCAAACCCTGGCAAAAGTGCTAATCTGGCTACAGTCAGGAGATCAAAAGGTGAAATACCCTTCGGGCGGATCTTCTTCCCCCCCCCACCCCCAGATATTGTGGCAAAGATGCTTTACACGGTTATTTCTGCATGTAGACATCACGGGGAACGCTCTTGCTGTCAGCAACTTTCAGCACATAGATGCCATGGGTTCACACATGAAAGGCACCACCGACAGGAAGAAGTGACCACAGACAGACGGCAACATCTTCCTCTTCCCTCCCCACTCCCGCCCCAGCTGTGCTCTAAAGCGGGGAAGGCCGTGCATAGATTGGTGGGTGTTAGACCGAGGACTCAGAATTCAAAATTGCTAACTGGCACCCAAGCTTCCAAAGAAATGTACTGGGGATTTTTGCTTCCTTGATTTTCTGGGAACACTTATGATTACGGTTAAGTTCTCACTAAAAAAGGAGTTGAACGCCTTCCAGCTTGCTCATGAACTCATGACTTTTCTCTGCAGGGGCCTCAACCATCCCGTACAGTGAGGCAAGGAGAAACTGAGGCCCGCCAGGCCCCACCTTCAAGCATCTTGTCTGCTGGGTGACTTCTCCACGGAAGGCCCTGATCCTCATTAATTGCTCCAAATGGGGACTGAGAAGAGGTGGATTGCTAGTCCCTAAACCAGTGTTTCTCAACCTTGGCCACTCTAAGTTGTGTGGACTCCAACTCCCACATGGCTGGCTGGGGAATTCTGGGAGTTGGAGTCCACACAACTTAGAGTGGCCAAGGTTGAGAAACACTGGTTTAGGGACTAGCAATCCCCCTCTTCTCAGTCCCCATTTGGAGCAATTAATGAGGATCAGGGCCTTCCGTGGAGAAGTCACCCAGCAGACAAGATGCTTG